TTGTCGGTGGACTCTGGAGTCTGGTGGGTCGCATCTCGGTGATGTTACTTTGACTTCTACTGTTTTCTCCTGTCGTCCCGGATTACACCTTCTTAACTCACCGCTATATTATTTTTCTCATGACAATAAACGTTCCGCAACCTTAACAGCAGGATTCCATCTAACTACATCATGTCATACCATGCTACCTATTAAGGCAGTTTTTTTTTCCTACATTTTTTTGGAAATTGGTGGCTCGCTGAACTCATCCACCGATGTAGAATTTTTTACTGCCCAGATAATTATTTTATAAGAAATCGTTGTTAATCGGATCTAACTTACCATCTTACTACGCGTAACATTCTACTAATTCCTGTTGTCACACAGCTGATTACGCGCAGCTGTGATTATCTATTTTCATTTTCTTATTTTCACGACAGCACTAATTTTGTAATGAAAGGACCCATTAGGCCTTAAATATACAATTTATTAATAATATTATTATTATTATTTATCAACAAGTTGCTGCATCAGTCTAAAAAGTGGAGACAGTTCCCGATCACCAACTCCTTCGCTGGTAATGAGTTGGTGTAGACAGCGCTCTTTCGTTACAGCTACCGGGCTTTACAAGAACCTCCTTCAACTTGCCATAAGGCTGCTCTTAGGGGCAGTGTATGTGGTGGCCCGAGCCTCTTAGAATATTCGTCAAGTAGATTACGCTGTAGGTGGTTGAACTTTGTTTGCTGGCGAGTTAGTTTGTATGCTTCAAATTCAGCCTCACAACGTTCAATCCAAAGCTCCACACTCCGTGGCCAGGAAGTCCGTAGTATAGCAGAAACGTTTGGTCTCGTGATAGAAGTGAAGGAAAGGCTGACGGAATGTTGAAAATATTCCCGGATTGGAAAAGTTGGAGGCCACAAATATGTAGCGGTGGAGGATGAGCGATCCACCATAACCACGCACACTAAGAATATTGCGTCTGTTGGATGGCATTTGAGTGACTGCTACAAACAGAAACACGTACCAATATCCACAATGTGTCCGAGAACGTTATTTCTCGTGGATTTTCGAGAAAAATAAAGTTAGTATAGCTTTCGTACTCAGCAGGA